GTATCCAAATAGGCAACGAGGAGGTAAAATTATCCCTCTATGCTGATGACATGATAGTATACTTAGAAAACCCTAAAGACTCAGCTTTATGCAGAGTTTTAAATGATCCAAGAAGCACTAAAAAAGATGGAAGGAGTATACAGAGTCACTGTACCAGAAAGAATTGCCTGACAGAAGAATTTAATGAAATAACTTATGAGCAAGAGCCTATGGTGATGAAGGAAGAAGTTCAAGTTGCTCTGAAAGAATTGGCAAAAACCAAAGCTCCAGAAGTTTATGGCATGCCAATTGACATATTTCTACAAACAGATGCTGCCCTGGATGTGCTCACGAGGTTGTGCCAAGAAATCTGGAGGACAACCACCTGGCCAACTGACTGACAAGAAATAGATATTTGTTCCCATTTTTTTAAAAAGTGACCCAAAAGAGTGCAGAAATTATCAAACAATATCATTAATATCACATGCAAGCACGATTCTGATGAAAATTATCTAAAAATGACTCAAATAGTGTATCAACAGAGAACTGCCAGAAGTGCAGGCTGGGTTTAGAAGAGGCTGTGGAACTAGGAATATTATAGCTAATGTTAGATGCATCTTGGCAGACAGCAGAAAATACCAGAGGAATGTCTCTCTGTTCTTCACTGACTATGCAAAGGCTTTTGACTGTGTGGACCACAACAAACTGTGGCTGACTCTGAGAAGAATGGTAATCCCAGAACATTTGATTGTGCCTATGCGAAACCTATATTTGGACCAAGAGGCAGTCGTCAGAACAGAGCAAGGAGACACTGCATACCTCAAAACCGGGGAGGGAGTCCATCAGGGATGTGTATTCTGTCTCCATATCTTTTCAATCTATATGCAGAACAGATCATTCTGGACGCTGGACTGTATGAGGAATGTGGCATCAGGATTGGAGGAAGATTCAACAACCTGCATTATGCAGATCACACCACCCTGCTTGCTGAAAACTGAGGAGGACCTGAGGACTTGCTGCAGAAGGTCAAGGATTGTAGCCTTCAATATGGATTGAAGCTCAACAGCAAGAAAACAAAGATTCTCACCACTGAGCCAATTGGCAGCATCATTTTGGATGGTGAAGAGATTGAGATTGTTAACAGTTTTAGTTTGCTAAGGTCCACAGTTCACATTCTTGGTACCAGCAGCCAGGAAATCAGGAGACGAATTACATTGGGAAAGTCAGCTGTCAGGGACCTCTCCAGAGTACTAAAGAGTAACAGTGTCAGGCTGGAGACAAAGGTGCACCTTATCCAGGCAATAGTCTTTGCAATTGTGTGCTATGTGTCAGAGAGCTGGACAATGACTAGGGATGACAGAAAGAGAATTGATGCCTTTGAGCTGTGGTGCTGGAGAAAAGTGTTGATTATACCATGGACTGCTAAGAGAACTGTCTCTGACACACCTACCGCCATTACCCTAGTCATTCTGTCAACCTATCTTATCCAGAGCCATCCTCTCTTACACTGACCCTCCACCTTTCCAGGCATGATGTCCTTCTCCAAGAATTGACCACTCCTCACAACTCAAAGGCACTAATTCTTCCAGATTCTCAATTCCAAAGAACTTTTAAAATATGTGACTAGAGTGAGGTTTATTTTTTAAAAAAATTCCTTAAGAATGTGAATATAGTGTGTAGATAAAGCATAAAACTTCTCCATATAAGGATAAGTTAGAAGAATTATATGAAAACTGCTTTCTGAGAGTCAATTGGTAAATTCTACATCAATGGCTAAGCTCAGGCCTCTGAAAAATAAAAAATAACCCATCTTAATATATAGATAGGGAGCTCTGGTGGCCTAGTGGTGAGAAGCTGCACTACTAACCTCGAGGCATGTTATTTGAATCCACCAGCTGCTCTATGGAAAATAGACTTGCATTCTCCTCACATGTAATTTACTGCCTCTGCAAACCCACGGGTGGTCAGCTATACGTCGGTACTGACTCAAAGTCGCATAACAACAATATATAGGGAGCAGTCAGGAAATCAAAAGATTAATTCCATTGAGAAAATCTTCCTTGGGACCTCTCTAGAGCACTAACGAGCAAGGATGTCAATCTAGAGACTAAGATGTAGCTGGTCCAGGCTATAGTCTTTGAAATTACTTCCTATATATCAGAGAGCTAGACAATGACTAAGGGTAATAAAAGAAGAATCAGTGCCTTTGTGTTGTGGTTCTGGAGAAGAACATTTAATGTCCCACAAACCGCCAAGAGTACAAACAGTTCTGTCCTGGGGTGGGTGAAACCAAATTGCTCCTTAAAGGCAAAGATTTTGAAGCTCAGTCTTATATACTTTGGGCATGTTGCCAGGAGGGACCAGTCCTTGAAGAAGGACATCATGCTTGGAAGGGTAGAGGGACAGCGTGGGAGAAGACCCTGGATAAGATGGATTGACACATCAACTGTGCCTGGATATCTAAAGTTTATCATTCAGATGTCTTTCCCAGCCCATTATTAATTGTTAATTTTGTGCCGAAGTAATTGTTGTATTAAGGAGAAAGGATTAGGATGAGATACAAGCCTACTTCACTAGAGGCTTACATAAGCTCATGAGACCTCAGCAGTAGGCACTTTCTTTTGGGACTCTCTCATCTAGGGCACAGCATATAACTGGTATTGCTCACAGTTGTCATTTAGCTACACAACTGACACTCTACAGGATTCTGGCTTATTACTCACCAGTTACTCCAAAATCAGCCTGCATACCTATGGTCACATGAGTCATTCTACTGACGAGTCCGAGTCTCTGGGAGGCTTTCTAGTGATCATTGGGCCATAGAAGAATTGGGGAACTGAGCCACGGATGCAGCTGTTAAGTTATAAATCATAGTCTTATAGAACTAGTTAAGCATTTGAGACTACGTTGACTTGAGACTTCTTATAAATAGTCTGCTATTAATCTTAACACGAAGAATTTAAAAACACTGTGGCAATGGGAACAAGTGTGCCAGAAACAGTGAGATTGGCCCAGGATAGGACAGAGTTCAGAACTATTGTTCATGGCACATAACAACAGCTGCAGCACTGATATAGAGTTATCTGTAGGAATGTTATTAAAAAGAGGAGTAAAAAATAAACCAGGGACCATTTGGTGTGCCAATTCACAAGCAGAAACTATATGTCTCTGTGATAAAAATGTGCAAGCCTAAGAAAGAAGAGAAAAAGTTCAGATCCCAATTAATAGTTTCAAACTAGACCCTTACCTTCTGAATGGATACTGAATTCTGCTACACAATACATTTGTAGTTAAAATAAGAAATATGACTGAGAGAAATAGCAAATTATTTTATTTGTGATTTAAGTAAAAGTTTACAAAGCAAATTTTTTTCCATTCAAAAATCCATACACATTTTGCATTTATAACATTAGTTATAATTCCTGCAATTGTAACCACACTCTTTCCACATTTCCCCTTTGGTTCTTATTTCCATTAATCTTCCTATCCTACATATCCCTGCCTTCTGGACTTTATCCTTTGGCAAATGCTGTTTTTTTGATCTACTATTGATTGATTATTTTAAGGAGTAAGGGCCTCTAAGGTATTAAATAGAAAATTCTTTTGACAGAGCCTAAATAAAACTAACAGACTATAGAGGTACTATATCAATACTAATATAATTACCCAACTGATTACTGAAGTCCTGATGGCTTGGTGGTGAGAAACGCTGCCAACCCAAAGGTTTTAATTAACCAGTTGTTCCATAGCAGAAAGATGGGCAATCTCATGTGCAATTTACTACCTTTGAAAAACCATTAGACAGTCAGCTAGGAGTCCATTGTGACTCAATGGTAAACAACAATAACCCATTACCAGTCAAGAGAAATTCAGAGCAGAGTCTCTTGCTCCTTCAATGCTCTTGAAAAGGACTCTACAATTATGAGTGAATAAATGAATGAATGCGTGAACTACTTCTAGCATAAGTGAAGTAGGTAACAGTCTACTGTAAAATTCTATGAAAATCTTTTACACAAAATGTACACATAATAAAAAATAGCAAATTAGGTAGATATTTCTTTCATGAAGGATGCCGATCCAACCACATGTTCATGGAGATTGTCTCAATCATAAGTTCTTCATTTTCATTTCACAAATGGACCGTTGAATAACATCACAAAAGGCATCATTCCAACCCCAGCTAGCTGAGTCTTCTTTTGTTCCACGAGAATTTAGGATAACACAGTGCTCATCATTATTATTGGGTTCACCAGAATGCCAAAATCTGAAAGGGAGAAAAAGAATGAGACTATTTCTTCAAATTATGCTTTAAAAAGGGTGAAAGACTGAGGAAGACGGACTTGAGCAGTTTCGAGTCCAAACCAAATATGGCCAACTATTCCTTCCTTCTCATGCTGTCTTCTGTAAAACTCTCAAGTTTAAATAGATTTTCTCCCACTTGAGTTTTTTTATATTTACCTTGGTGCCATGTAACCCTGTTTTCTGCTATCTTAAGCTGTTCAGAACATGTTAAACATCTTCCCCCTAGCTATCAGTGAGGCTCTCAAGTACTTATTCACCCTCTCTTGTTCTTATAGGACAGTCAATCTCACAGGGCTTTCTCATAAGAAGAAGGTATTTCCCCTACGTCCCAAGTATCACTATAGTTTGTTTTTTAGAAACTCCTTTTGAAGTCAGGAGAACTAGTGAAAATCTTTGTATTTGCTAATTATTCCTTGTTTTCTTGGTAAAATTTTTTTCATTTTCCATATTCTGTTTTCCTATTTAAAAATGAAGACTAGACTAATATCCATGTATTCTATGTAGTTACTGGGGGAAATGTATACTAAAGTACTTTAAACTTTATAAGGCACTGCATAAGTACGAGTTGTTGTAAGAGCATCAGAATCTAGCATTCCTGTTTTAAAAAATACTAAATATTATAGCTGAGTATACCATTAATTTATACTTTTCTATTTTGTAAGAGATATAAATATGGCTAAAAATACATATTTTGGTGGTTGTTTTGTTTAATGGCTGGTATCTGGAATACCTTGAAACTTTAGTAAGGTCTTGGGGTGGGGCGAAATTATGCAACAATGAATACATGAAAATCCAACTTTTCTGTAAACTTTCATTAAAATCACAATTTTAAAGAAGGGGGGGGGAACCACAAAAAACTTTAGTAAGGTCTAAGGCCCAGGATTCCTTGATCTAATTCCATACTCACGAGACACTTTTTTTGTATGGTGACTGATCAACCCACTGCCACTGGCGATTGCCCTCTGGGTCTGACAATCCAAAGTAGTAAGCAAATTTCCTATCAAGCTTCTGCATGATGAATTGCTGATGGAACAAAGAAAAGGACTCTTAGTATTTACAGTTATCTAGGTTGTACTAAATTCTTTGTGATCTCAGAGAGACAAGAAGAAAATAAAAGGGATCACATGGTCCCCACTGCCCCGGAGCAAAGGTATTTTCCTGGTTGAACAGGACAGGGTCAAAGATATCACTTGCGAGTATAACGTTCAATCCATAACAGGGGAACAAGTCAGCATAAGATCACAAAATAAATTTTCACTCCCAATTCCTTCCTAACAAAAACAGCCAGCTCTTTGTACATTCTGTTATTTATTCCCATAGCCAAGAAAGTTGATCCAACAGAATGTGGAAATTATGAAAATTAATCCCACATGCAGAAAATCTACTGCTGAAGATAATTAAAAAATGCTTAGAAAAGTACAGAAATGGAAAACTGCCAAAACGTCAAGCTGTATTTAGAAGAGGCGTGGCACCAGGGATATCATTGCTGATGTCAGATGGATCTGGTTGAAAGCAAAGAATATCAGAAGAATGTTTATTTGTGCTTTACTGACTGTGCAAAGGCACCTGGTAATGAGAAGAATGGGAATCCAAGATTTAATTTAATTTAATTGTATTCATGTGAAATCTATACCTAGACCAAGAGACTGTTGTGTGAACACAGCAGGGGAATACTTAATGATTTAAAGTCAGGAAAGATGTGTGTCAAGATTGTATCCTTTCTCCATACCTATTCAATCTGTATACTGGGCAAATGAAGAAGCTGGACTCTATAAGGAAGAATGAGGAATCAGAATTGGAAGAAGATTCATAAAGAACCTTCATTACAGAGATGACAAAACTTAGCTTGCTGTGAGAGGACATGAAGCACTTGGCTGCAGATCAAAGACTGCAGCATTCATTATGAATGCATCTCATCAACAAAAAGCCAAAAATTCTTACCAATGGACCAAGAGGCAACATCATGATAGATGGAGAAAAGATTGAAATGGTCAACAGCTATCTTACTTGGACTCACGATCAATATACTTGGTTCTTGCAGCCAGGAGATCAAGAGATGCACTGCACTGGGAAAATCTGCAGTTAAGAAACTCTCCAAATTACTAAGGAATAATGATACCAATTTGAAGACTGAGGAGTGCCTGACTCAGGCCATGGTCTTTCTGATCACTTGCTATGCATCTTAGAGTTGGACACTGAATAAAGATAGAAGAAAAATTCATGCTTTTGAGCTGTGATGTTGGAGAAGAGTATTGAACATCCCATGAATTTCCAAAAGAATGAACAGATATGTCTTGGAGTGCAGATGCAGGATGCTCCTTAGAGGCAAAGATGATAAAACTTTGTCTCATATACTTTCAACATGTTGTTAAAGAGACTGTTCCTTGGAGAGGAATAGAGCCAATGTCATCAGTGCCTTGACTTTCTTCCTTATTCATAATTAGTTATTGATCCTGTACTACTTTCTGAAATAGGTTGATGTCAACAAATTCTTTTTGGTACAGTCATTCTGTGTATTCCTTCCATATTCTTTTGATGCTTCCTGGATTATTCAGGATTTTACCTGTAGCATCTCTCAGTATTGCAACTAGAGAATTTAATTTTCCCCCCAAGTTCTTTCAGCTTGAAAAATGTGAGCAAGTTCTTCCCTTTGTATTCTCCAACTCCAGCTGTTTTCACATTCTGTAATAATACTTGGCTTTGTCTTCTTGAGCTACCCTTCTAAATCTTCTTTAAACCCTGTAAAAGAGTTTTAGATGAAATTGTTGGAGAAGCTCAATACCAGCAGTCAAAACCAGGCCAGATACCAACTGTGGAACAGAGCATCAGTTATTCAAGTGCAAGTTCAAACTGAGGCTAAAGAAAATTAAAACAAGTCTAAAAGAACCAAAATATGGCCTATAGTCTATTCTACTTGAATTTAAAAATCATCTTAAGAATAGAATTGAGGCATTGAATACCACTGATTGAAGACCAGATGAGTTGTGGGATGATAATAAGGATATCATCCGTGACGAAAGCAAAAGGTCGTTACAAGAACAGAGGAGAAAGTAAAGACCGAAATGGATGTCAGAATAGACTCTAAAAATGGCACTAGAACATAGAAAAGCCAAAACAAAGAGAAGAAATATTGAAATAAAAGAGCTGGACATGAGATTTCAAAAGGCAGCTCAAGAAGAAAAAGAAAAATATTATACATATCTTTGTGCAAAGAAATTGAGTTAGAAAATGGAAAGAGAAAGTGATCAACATTTCTCAAAAGAGCTGAAGAACAAATTCAAGCTTTGAATTGTAATAATGAAGAATTTTATATGTAAAATGTTGAATGATGCAGAAAGCATCAAAACAAGACAGAAGGAACGCAAAACCACTCTACAAAAAATTAAAAATAAATTGTCAACACCAAACCATTTCAGCAAATAGTGTATGATCAAGAATTGATTATAACATTGAAGACATTGGCAAATAAAACAAAACAAAAACCAAAAAAAAAAGAACTGGTGCACACCAAACCATTTCAGCAAATAGTGTATGATCAAGAATTGATTATAACATTGAAGACATTGGCAAATAAAACAAAACAAAAACCAAATAAAACCTAGGAATTGAGGTAATACCAATTGCGATGTTTCAACCAACTGATGCAGCAGTGGACATACTCACTAATCTGTACCAAGAAATTTGGAAAACAGCTACCTGGCCAACTGACAGGAAGAGATCCATATTTGTTCTCCTTCCTCAAAGAGATGATCCAACAAAATATTGAAATCATCAAACAATATAATTAATACCACATGCAATAAAGTATTACTGAAGATTATTTTTTTTAAATGGCTAGAACAGTATATTGACAAGAAACTACCACAAATTCATGCAGCATTTGGAAGAGGCATTGGCACAAAGGATTTCATTGTTGATGTCAGATGGATTGTGGCTTAAAGCAGAAAATATACGAAAGATGTTTATTTGTTTTTATTGACTATGAAATGGCATTTGATGGTGTGGGTAATAACAAATTAACGCTAACATATGGCAGAATGGGAATCTCAGAATACTTAATTGTGCTCAGTGCAAAGCCTATACCTAGACCAAGAAGAGTTAAACAAACAGAACAAGGAAATACTACAGAGTTTAAAATCAGGAATGATGTGTGTCAGAGTTTTATCCTTTCTCCATAGCTATTCAATCTGTACAATGAGCAAATAATTTAAGAAGCTGGACTAAGTGAAGAAGAATGTGGTATTCTTGTCAGTTGGTCGGTCCTTGGAAAAATACATCATGTTGAGATAGGTGAAGAATGAAGGAAAGAGAGGAAGACTCTTAAGAAGATTGATTGATACAGTGACTATAAACAATGGGCTTGAACATATTAGAGATGGTGAAGATAGCAGAGGATAGAGCAAGGTATAGCTATGCTGTTCATAGGATCACTGTGTATTGTATTTGGAAACAAAATAATCAAGTAAAATTTTGTTGTTGTTGTTATGTGCCGTCGAGTCGTTTGCGACTCATAGCGACCCTATGCACAACAGCCCTAAATCCTGCACTATCCTGCGCCAACCGCACTGCCTCTGACACACCCATCCCGATTACCCCAGTCACCGAATCAATCCATCTCATAGAGGGTCTTCCCCTCCTGCGCTGTCCCTCCACCCTCCCAAGCATGATGTCCCTCTCCAAGGACCCATCCCTCCTGGCAACATGTCCAAAGTATGTCAGACGAAGCCCCAGAATCCTTGCCTCCAAGGAGTAGCTTGGTTTAATCCTCTCCAAGATGAATCTGTTTGTTTTCCTGGCAGTGCATGGTGCATTCAGTACTCTTCTCCAGCACCACAGCTCAAAGGCATCAACTCTCCTTTTGTCCTCCCTGGTCATTGTCCAGCTCTCTGATGCATAACAAGCGATTGCAAAGACCATGGCCTGTATCAGGTGCACCTTAGTCTCCAGAGAGACACCGTTGCTCTTGAGTACTTTAGAGAGGTCCCTCAAGCAGACTTTCCCATCACGCTTTTTGATTTCCTGACTGCTGATGTCAAGAGTGTTGACTGTGGAGCCGAGCAAACTGAAGCTGTGAACAATCTCAATCTCTTCGCCATCCATCCTGATGCTGCCAATAGGTCCAGTGGTGAGAATCTTTGTCTTCTTGACATTGAGCCTCAGCCCATACTGAAGGCTGCAGTCCTTGACCCTTCGCAGCAAGTGCATGAGGTCCTCCTCAGTTTCAGCAAGCAGGGTTGTGTCATCTGCATAACACAGATTGTTAATAGATCTTCCACCAATCCTGATGCCACAATTCTCCTCATAGAGCCCAGCCTCTCAGATAATCTGCTCTGCATACATGTTGAAAAGGTATGGAGACAGGATGTATCCCTGGCATACACCCTTCCCAATTTTGAATCATGCAGTGTTACCCTGCTCTATTCTGACTACTGCCTCTTGGTCCAAGTATAGGTTTCACATTAGCACAATTAAATGTTCTGGGATTCCCATTCTTCTCAGAGTCAGCCACAGTTTGTTATGATCCACACAGTCAAATGCCTTTGCATAATCAATGAAACACAGATAGACATTCTTCTGTGTAAAGTAAAATTTTAGAAAGAAAAAAAAACAAAAACTGAAATTAGAACTCAAGCCATTTAGAATCAGTAGCAGAATAGAAACAGTAAAGAAAGGATTAGTGAACTAGAAAACAAGAAAGAGGAAACTACTTAAATAGGGAGAGATGAAAAGTTGAAAAATACTGAGAAGGAGGAAAGAGATGAAGAGATAGAGTGTGGGAAAATGATTTCATTTCCATGGTATTTCTTAAACAGAAAATATAATTTTCCTATGTCTTAAATTCACTATTTTATTTGCTTAGCTTTGCTCTAATATACATTTTATTCAAATTTCAGGGCAATAAAACAAACAAGTAAACAAAAACCCTTCTCCTAAGCCAAGGGAAGAGACAAGGCTCAATAACCCTCTTGTCTGTGAGAAAGTACCTGCTCATCCTTAGTGTTGATCACCATCAAATAAGCCCCTAGTGCAGAGCAGATCTTCTCACTATCTGTCCAATTTTTCAGTTCAGTGGAAATAAAGTAGCAGCTGGACTGAAATGAACTCCAGAGGACTGGGCAACAGAAGCAATCTTACAGAATGAGTACAGAACAAAAACAAGAAAATAAGGGTGAATATTCTTTATATAAAGTTGTATGGCTTACTAACTTTCAATTGGATTTAATTAATAACGCTCAATGATTTTCCAAAGCTGAGCTAATTCATTGGTGTATTCTCTAAACCTTAGATTGTTTCCACTGCCATTAAGCCTATTCCAACTATTGTTGTGTACCATTGACTCAGAACTAACCATAGCTGAGCTTCCAGAAGGTTTTCAGAGGAAGTAAATCACATGAGAGGAAACTGATCATTCTTCTCTCACTATTCGTGATCCTCAGTCATGTTTATCAGGTTGTAAATCTTTTACAACAGGAGATTATTCATCTTTTCCTCACAGAGCAATTGGTGGATTAAAACAACAGATCTTTTGGTTAACAGAGAAACATGAATTGCAGTAGGACACTGGTGCATCCAGAATATTAAAAATGTATTTGGACATATTTTAGGGGGGGGCAACTTCTTGGAAAAACGCAAAATGCTTCCAAAATTGGAAGATAAGTGAAGGAAAGGAAGACTTTTAAGGAAATGGTGAAACACAGTGACTGCAACATTAGGTTGAAGCACAAGCGTGAGTAAGAAGATGGCAAAGGATCTGTCAGGGTTTTATTCTGTTGTTCAAAGTGTAGCTACGAGTTGAAGCTAACTAAAAGGCACCTCACACAACAGATCATTTCTTGTTATGTGCCATCGAGTTAACTGTGACTCACAGCAACCTTATGACCACTGGATCTTAATCTTGCCCTATCCTGTGCCATTCTCACCAACTACAGATCATTTCACTCTAAGTTGAATTTGTCTAGAAATGGAATAAGCTGATGCCTTTGAGTTGTGTTGCTGTGGAAAAAGTATTGACCATACCATGGACTGTCAAAATAACAAACAGGTCTTTTCTGGAGAGAGCGAGACCAGGTTGCTCCTTGAAGGCAAGGACTTTGAAACTAGATCTCACATATTTTGGTCATTTTGTCAGGAAGGGCCAATCCTTAGAGAAGCACTTGGAAGAGTCATTCTTGGCAGGGTCAGTGCAAGAGAGGAAGACCTTGGATGAAATGGATTCACACAGTGACTGTGGCAATGGGATCAGGTGTGTCAGAGATAGTCGAATTAGCTCAGCCTAGAGAAAAGTTCAGATCTGTTATTCATAACCTCACTTTGAGTTGTAGCTGAGCTGCAGGCACAAAACAAGTAATAAAGTACTTAACGATATGTGTCACCAAAGCTATCCTCCAGGCTACCTTATCTTCTATGCCATACTTGATAAATATTTGTTAAGAGTGGAAACTGACCATACCAGATCTTCAGGCTGGTCACATCTAAGTCATAGAGTGGAGGGGGGCTGTGACCAGTCATAAAGACCAACTACAAGATGGTTAGGGATTTGGGTTGGATGTTGGTGGCCTGAAGGCTAAGATCAACCATGTATATAATTTATCAATCAATTATGCCTATATAATGACACTCCAATAATTTTGAACATTGAGGTTAGGATAAACTTCTTCCATTGGCAATACTGTGACCATCATCACACATTAATGTTGGAACATTAACACGTTGTGATTCCATGGAAGAGAATGGAAGCTGAGCATGCACAACCCTTTCCAACTGTCATACGTTGCCCATTGGCTAATTTTTGCTCTAGTCTATTTTATAAATTAGAAATGGAATACTTACAACGTTATAGAATAGTGAAAAATGTGCAATATACTGTATAATGTGGACTAATCTCAAGGACCTTATACTTCAGTCACAGAAGGATAAATATCGTGAGTCCACTATTATAAAAAAGCTGAAGAAAGGTACACACATACAGAAAGAAAAGTTAAGTGGTTACTAGGGACAGGAAAGGAGGCAATTATTACTGTTGTTAAGGGTCATCAAGTAGGGGCTCGATTCATAGCTGATACTCCAGTGGCTTTTTAAAGGTAGTAAATTGCATAGGAGAAGATTGTCCATCTTTCTGCAGCAAAGCAGCTAGTGAATTAGCCTTTGGATTGGCTACCAGAGCTCCCTAAATGTGGGTGCTGTCAAGTTGAGTACAATTCATAGCAACCCTGTGAATAACAGATCTGAACCATGTCCTGTACTGTGCCATCCTCACCCTTCCTGACAGACACACTAGAGGCCATTGTGGTCATCACTGGTCAATTCACCTGGTTGAAGTCTTCCTCTCCTTCATCGACTCCTGCTTTTCCAAGCATCATGTCCTTCTCCAAGGAATAGCTCCTCCTAGCATCATGCTATACGTATGTGAAGTGAAGCTTTATAATTATTGCCTGCAAAAGCACTCTACCTGCACTTTCTCCAAGATATATATATTTTTTCCTTTGGCCATCCATGGTATGTTCAGAAGTTTTCTCCAACACCACAGCTCAAAGGCATCAATTCATTTTATGTCATCCTATTCATTGCCCAGCTTTCAGATGCATAGCAAGTGATCGGGAAGACCGTTGCCTGAGTCAGACACATATTATTCTTCAACTGACATCATTGTTCCTCAATAATTTGGAGAGGTACCTGACTGCTGACCTTCCGAGTGCAATATGACTCCTAATTTCCTGACTGCTGGTACCAAGGGAGTTAATTGTGGATCAAAGTAAAATGAAGTTGCTGACAGTTTCAATCTTTTCTGTACCTATCATGATGTTATCTATTGGTCTAGTGGTAAGAATTTTTCCTTTCTTTACATTGAGATGCAATCCATATTGAAGGCTATATTCTTTGATCTTCTGCAACAAGTGCTTCAAGTCCTCCTCACTTTCAGCAAGCTGTTTTTTCATATGCATAACAAAGTTTATTGATAAGTCTTCCCCCAATCCTGAAAACTCATCTTTCTTCACAGAATCCAGTCTCTTGAAAAATGAAGTGTTTCCTTGCTCTGTTCACACAATAACCTTTTGGTCTAGGCATAGGTTTTGAATGAGCACAATTAAGTGCTCTGGGATTCCCATTTTTGTCAATGTTAACTATAACTTGTTATGATAGACACAGTCAAATGCCTTTACATAGTAAATAAAGCATAAGTAGCCATCTTTCTGGTATTCTTTACTTTCAACCAGGATCCATCTGACATGAGCAATGATCTGGTGCCATGGCAGCCTTTTCTAAAATTTGCTTGAACTTCTAGCAGTTCCCTGTCTATGTACAGTTCTAGTTGCTTTTGAATGATCTTCAGCAGTAATATGGACCTCTTCCAGTCTATTGACCAGATAGCTGTCCTCCAAATTTCTTAACATAGACTGGCGAACACATCCAGAGCTGTTTCTGTAAACTGAAACAAGTCAGTTGGTATCCCATTGATTCCTAGGGCCTTATTTGTTCCAATGCCTTCAGTACAGCTTCAACTTCCTACTTCATTACTATTGACTCCTGCTTTTGTGGCACTTTCTGTAATTTTTTTCAGTGTCAGATAGTTCTTTTTGGTACCCGGACTCTGTGTATTCCCTCCATCTTATTTTGATGCTTCCTGGGTCATTCAGGATATTGCCTATAATATCTTTAAGTATTGCCATTTGTGACTTAAATTTGTTTTTCAGTTCTCTCAGCTTGAAAAATAATAGAGCGAACTCTTCCCTTTTTATTCTCCAATTCTAGATCTCTGCAAATCCTATTATAATACTTTGCTTTGTGTTCTCAAGATGCCCTTTGAAATCTTCTGTTCAGTTCTTTCACTGTAGCATGTTTTCCTTTTGTTTTGGCTTCTTCGATACTCTATTGCAATTTTCAGAGTCTCTTCTGACATCCATTTCGGATTTTTCTTCTTCCTCTGTCTTGGTAATGACCTTTTCTCTCTTCAAGGATCATAGCTTTGATATAATCTCACAATTCATTTGGCCTTCGGTCACTGGTGTTCAATGCTTCAAACTACTTTTAAGATTATTTTTAAATCCAGATGGAATAGATTCAAAATCATATTTTGGTTCTTGTGTAGTTGTTTTAATTTTCTTCAGCCTCAATTTGAACTTGGACACAAGTAATTGATGGTCTGACCCTTAGTCTACCCCTTGTCTAGTTTTGGCTGCTGATATTGGTTCCAGAAACATGGGAGACAAAGTAAAAATCAGTGTATAGAAAATAGACACATATTCAGATGAGCAAAGAGAAAGGTAATATAGACTGAGAGAATGAAAGAATGATCATCACACTATCACTGGAAGAAAGGAAAGGTATAGAGAGGTAAGTAAGAAATAGAATAAAAAAAAGAATTATTCTCATGATTTAGACTTGAGTAATTAGGTAAAAATGAATTCTGGTCATACGGTACATAATCTACTGGACTGCTAATAAAAAATGAAAGTTTGATTTACTTGTTTAAAAGATGAAAGTGCTCCTTGGGAGGAAGGTGAGCCATCTCCTCCCAGAAAGACTTAAAGTCTTAGAAATCTATGGAAGGTCACTATGAGTTCAAACCAAGTCAATAGCAGTAGGTTTTTGGTTTTGGTTTTATAACTGATGTAAAAGGCATCAGATACAGAAGCCTATAGGATGGACATTTATGAGGATAAAATCTAGAACTTTATTTGTTACTTTATTTATCAGATGTCTATTGAAAACATGCAGAAGAAGGATGGGCAATCTCTTGTGCCTCTGAAAACCTACAGGAGGGTCAGCTATGGGTCGGATTCCAACTCAAAAATACACAATAATGACATTTAAAACATGCAAGTAAACAGTTTAAGAAACCAATAGGGTAAACCAACATGAAATTCAAAAGTACTAAAAATAAAGACTATTGAACTAAGAATTTGATTACTAGGAAGATAAATCATTGTTTAATGTATACCTTTAAATCCCTTTTCGTTTTTGATACTGGTCAAACATGAATTATATTGTTGGTGCTCTTGCAATTGAGAAGACCTTTTGTCAATTTTGATATACACAAAATAATTATAAGTCACTAGAAAAAAAGAAGAAGAATTAGTTCTCATTACTTTAGTGCATCTAAACTGCCTTATAGAGTCTTATGTTCTTACACAAAGTCTTCATCTATCTCTTTTTCTCATCCTGCTTTACCACACTAGCTCATTCCAAACCCCCATCTTGGGCTTTTTTTCTGTGAAAGCTCAGCAGATAAAGTGTATTGTAAATGCTGCTTTCTTTTTATTTTATTGAATCATATTTTTTTATTA